CGCCGCTGCTAGCCGGGCAGGTGCAGGAGCCCGCCGCAAGGCTGTCTGCGCCCGGCTGATGCAGTTGAACCCCCAGTGGCCTCTCTGACCGGTGACTGTGAGTCCTCAGACTCACTCCAGAGGCAGGTGGCCAGTCACCCCAATTCAAGCAGGCCTCACCCAGAGACCCAGATGTGAACAGAGGGACACAGTCTAAGAAATCCAAAAATCCTGCCCGATCCCCCTAGGACTCCAGCTCACAAGGAGACCCTCAGATACACAAGCACCCACAAGGATGTATTTACTCAGCAAGAGAGATCTTAGGCCCTCATACACTCTGGGGGAGTGGAGGGACACCCGGACAGACATACCCTCATAGACACCTGAACAGACAATCTATAGATACACAGAGACTCCTAGAGACGTAGTGGCAGATACACCAACTGGCAAGTTCAGAGGGTACACAGAGACCTGCAGAGTTACAGGGAACAACAGGCAGGACATGTCCTCCCACACAGCGGAGACCCTCAGATCCCACAAACCCCACAGAAGTTTAGATAGACACACACCTCCTCATGCACCCACACTTGAAGTGTGCAGACACCCTGGAAGTCTCCCACACAGAGAACATCGTCCCAGACCACCTCAGACACTTAGCACTCCTCCTCCTGAGATGACCTATATGTCAAAACCTGGGACAGTCACCCTCAGAACATTCATACCTACAGACACAGCCATACAGACTGAGTCACCCACAGGGATGAATTCAGTCTGATGCAGACACCCTCAGACTCAAGATCCTGAGACCTTGCTGCAGGCTCACACTGGCACACACTCTCAGACATATCTTGATGACCACAGTCCTTGGAATCACACCCACAGGCTCAGATACCCAGAGCCTGGGTATAGACAGACAAGCTCATCAGCGACCCCCGGCTGTTCTGTCTACCCGAATGACAAGAAGTTCCCTCTACCAGCAGAAGTGGCTCCCCTTTCCAGCTGCTCCCATCCCTCTCCCTGAAGCAACCATCTGAGGTGACCTCAGAAAGACAGCTTGGTCCCTTCATTCCAAGAGGCCTAGGGGCAAGCCTCTCCATCTCACTGGCCTATTTCCTCATCCATGTGACGGCGACAGGAACCCTCTATTCTGTATGGTTGTATCTGTTTTCTGTTGCTTCGTAGTCAACCAAGTGGAAGCAACAGCTCTTTATCAATGTACAATCTGTCTAGATGGGAAGTCTGGCCAGCTCAGCTGGGTTCTCTATTTAGAGCCTTGCCAAGTATCAGCCAGGTGTGGCCGGCTGTTACTGAAGGCTCTGGAGAAAAATCTCATTCCATGATTATTTGGGGGTACCAGCAGGATTCAGTTTCTTGGTGCTGTAGGTCTGAAGGCCATGTCGGCTGGCAGCTCAGCATCTACAAATGGCCTCTCCATGGGCTCTCCATCTTCAAAACCACCACAGGAACGCCAACCCCTTCTCATCCTTTGCTCTTTCTAACTCCCCCCTGGGTTATCCCCAAAGGATAGTTAGTCCTCCTTCATCCTTTATATTGCCTTACAACCTGATCATGGCAGTGATGCCTTTTCCTAGTTCCACACACAGTCAAACAGAAGGGAATTATAAAAGGTGGGGACCCCTGGACTAGCCTTCCAATTCTGTCACCTTGCTGAGTACTTGGCACAAAGAAGGCACTCCTGAAGCCTTGTCCCCTTTCCAGGAATCATACTCTGACCTTGAGAACAATAGAAAAGTCAGAGTGTTCGGTATACAGCCACTCTGCCTTGGTAAATGGGAGCTTCACTCTTTCTAGGCATTCAGACACCATACATCTTAGAG